CAAGTTGCTTGATTTAAAATATTTTCCAAGACCATATATACAACTATAAAACATTTATAAATTTTTTTTTTATATATTTTTTTAACTCTTTCATCCTTGGTGATTTTTTTTTTCTACTTTAACGGGCTTTCTAAGTGACCTTTTAACGAGTTTTGGGCCAATGGATCCCAACCCAAATGGGCTTAGGTCATTAAGTATGGAAATACTCCTTGGGCTTAATTACTCGGTCACCTTAGGCTTTATAAGATAGAATATTATTATTATTATTATATTTTTTTTGTATATGTATATATATTTTGAAAATATGTAAATCAAGACACTTTTGAAAAATTATTTTCAACTCTAAGTTAAGCATGCAAAAATTTCATTATTTTAAATAAAAGTCCAAGTTAAGGCTTAAGTAAAGTATACTACTTTAAAAATTATTTCTTCAGAAATTTATTTATAGTTTTCATAAAAAGTGAACTTAAGTAAATAACTAACTAGGGATTAGAAAATTTCAAATTTATCAATTAAATCAATTATTACATAACTCTATCAATTTGGCAAGTGACGATATTTTTATAAATTTTTTTTTAAGGAAAAGGAAAAAAAATGACAAAAATGCACTAAAATTGTAAAATAAAAAGAAAAAATAACTAATTCCCACCACCACACCTAAATTTTGCATTGTCCTCAATGCAAACTCTATGATGCATAAAGTAAAACAGATAAGAAGTGAAACACTTACATTTGGTTCGCTGATAAAAATCTGCAATTACCTTTGGTCTGAGGAGGAGGAAATCAAACATTTATTCTTTTCTTGTTTTTTTTTCTTTTCTTTTTTTTTCTTTTTTTTTTCTTTTTTTTTCTTTTTTTTAAACAACTTAACAAGAAACTCTCAAATGAGAGAAGAATAAATTCTTTTTATTATTCTGAAATAAACAAAATAAACAATGTAGAATGAAATATTCAACATGAAGAGTTTCTGTTCTATATTGAATCCTACCTTACTGTTGAAAATTCTTCCCCGGATTCTAAACAAATTCAGAATGATATAATCAATAATGTGAATTTTCAAGCACTTCGGGGTGTTCAGTAATTCTTGCAACAAGGTAAGGTAGATATTATTGGTGTCATGCATTTTGTATTTCTTAATGAACTTAGACTCTTGTACTGTGAATTTTTGTTTTCTAACAACCAATTCTTCTGTGAAGTTCTGAAAATTTGGTTGTTGATTATTCTTCAAGAATCTAAGTTCATCAAGGAAGAGTTCTTCAAAATTTAATTCAAAGCAGCAAATGTTTAACACAGTTTTATTATTCTCAAGGACCTGATCTGCTTCTTCTAAAAACTCTAACTCTTCATCAAAAATTTCCTCAAAACTTAAATCACACTCTTCTTCTTCTTCTTCTTCTTCTGATCTTTCCTGAATGTAGTTTATTTCTAGAGGCTGATTATTTGGTTGGTCCCCTGGATTAAAAATGTTGAGATCAGCAGTCAAATTCCCAAAGGACAGCTTCATTTGACCAGTTCTACAGTTGATGAGAGCATTAGAAGTGGCTAAGAACGGTCGTCCTAAGATGACAGGTGTCTGTCCTTTGGGATTGGAAACAGGCTGTGTTTCCAAGACTACAAAATCTACTGGAAAAATAAAATCTCCAACCTTAATCAGAACATCCTCTAACTCACCCATAGGGACCTTGACAGATCTATCAGCCAACTGTAAGGTGCATTTGGTTGGGTTCAGTACACCTAGACCCAATTGCTGATAGACTGAATATGGAAGCAAATTGACACTGGCCCCTAAGTCTAAAAGCGCCTTATCAATGTGAGTATTACCAATGATACATGAAATGATGGGGGAACCTGGATCTTTACGTTTCAAAGGTATGGGATTTGACAGCATTTCACTGATATTGGCGGCTAAAAAGACTTTCTTTGGGACATTTATTCTCCTCTTCTTAGTGCACAATTCTTTTAAAAATTTAGCATAAGATGGAATTTGTTCAATTACATCTAAGAGAGGAATGTTGACCTTAACCTGCTTGAATGTCTCTAGGATTTTCTCCTCCTGAGGAGAGTGTTTCCTAGACCTGAGTCTATCTGGAAAGGGAGCAACCGGTCTAAATCTATCAAAAGCAGGCTCAGGTTCGGGTTCAGGTTCTTGGTCATCTGAGGGGAGTGATTGTTGAATAGATTCATCAGAAGGAGAAGGAGAAGGAATTTGTACAGGATCAAGAGTTTGACTTGGCGGAGTTCTCACTTGATTATCGACCTGTCTACCTGACCGAAGTGAATGGATTGCATTCACTTGAGCTTCATAGGATGAACTGCATCCTGTGTTATTAGGGTTGACCACGGGTTGACTCGGAAATTTTCCTTTCTCTCTTTCACTCACGGCACTAGCTAGTTGACCAAGTTGGGATTCTAATCTAGCTATAGCTTGAGTGTTGGAGTTGAGCATTTGTCCGGTTGATTGCATGAAGGAATTCAACGTGCTAGATGTTTGAGTCAACATATTCGTGGTTTGAGTAGAGGCCTTAATTATGGTTTCTAAACCCCTTTCCAAGACATTGAGACGTTTATCTTGATCTGGATTGTGAGGAGTTTGAATTACAGCTTGATGAGGAGGAGACTGATTTTGATACGGCAGATTGGGTTGTTGAAATTGTGAATGAGAATTGAATGGAACTGTGTTTCCCCTAGGAAAATGTTGGGTCGAAGCGGGAGTGAAATTTTGAGTTCCGGGAGAATTTCCTAGATTCCATGCAAAGTTGGGATGATTTCTCCAACCTGGATTGTAGGTTGGAGAAAATGGATCATTTCTAGGGTGCTGGAATGCAGCGTTCATCTGTTCTATTGCGTTGTTATTTCCTAGGAGAGGGCATTCCTCTGAAACGTGGGTAGGAGACTGACAATTATGACATCCTGGGAAAGAAACATGATTGAGTTGAGCTGGAGCTCGTTCCTTAATTTCTAAGGCTTCTAACCTCCGCAGAATTGTCGCCATCTTC